AAAATACAAAAAATTAGCTGGGCATGGTGGCATGTGCCTGTAATCCCAGCTACTCAGGAGGCTGAGGCAGGAGAATTGCCCGAACCCGGGTGGCGGAGGTTGCGGTGAGCCGAGATCGCGCCATTGCACTCCAGCCTGGGTAACAAGAGCGAAACTCCGTCTCAAACAAATAAATAAATAAATAAAAATAAAATAAAATAAAAATAAAAAAGCTCGTTTTATCGTAAGTGTTGAGAATGGTTGCCTTATAATAAGGCAGCCTGTCTCCTTGAGGACAAGAACACCCAGTTCATTTCTTCAAGTAGCACATATATATCCAGCATCCATATGTCCAAAGGAGACACACCCAACATCCTCTTCGCCCTCAAAAAGTTCATAACAGGCTGCGCTTGGTGGCTCGCACTTGTAATCCCAGCACTTTGGGAGGCTGAGGTGGGAGGATCAGAGACCATGGGTTTGCGACTGGCCTGGGTAAGATTTTTCTCCAAAAAATAAAAAGTTAGCCGGACATGGTAGTATGCACCTGTAGTCCCAGGTACTCGGGAAGCTGAGGCAGGGGGATCACCTGATCCCAGGACATAGAGGCTGCAGTAAGTGGTGATTACACCGCTGCACTCCAGCCTGGGTAACTGAGTGAGACCGTCTCCAAAAAAAAGAAGAATTCCTCAACTGTTCTATGTCAAGAGCAATGCCCACAATACATACAATGAGATATCATCTAGCAAGGAAAGTGAACAAATTTTCGTGACATGAACAATATGAATTAATCTCAAAAATATTATCCTAGGTCCTGGTGCAGTAGCTCACACCTGTAATCCCAGCACTTTGGGTCATTTGAGCCCAGGAGTTTGAGACCAGCCTGGGCCACATGATGAGACCCCCATCTCCACAAAAAATACAAAAGTTAGCTGGGCGTGGTGTTGCGAGCCTGTAGTCCCAGCTACTCCGGAGGCTCATATGGGAGGATGGCTTGAGGCCGGGAAGGCGAGGCTGTAGTGAGCTGAGATCACACCACTGCATTCCAGTCTGTGTAATAAAGCAAAATCCTGTCTAAGACAATACAAAAAAACAAAAACAAAACATTGTCCTAAGCAAAATGAGCTGATACCAGAATGCATGAGTGCAATTCCATTTACATGAAACTCTTGAACAGGCAAAACGAATCTACAGGGACAGAATGCAGAATCTAGTTTTTGGGGGATAGTAGTGGACTTCAGCTGGCTAATAGCAACTCGTAAGCATCTTTGATACCATTGTCAACTCCTTCTTTTTTTCTTTTCTTTCTTTTTTTCTTTTTGAGACAGAGTCTCCCTCTGTCACCCAGGCTGGAGTGCAGTGGCACAGTCTCGGCTCACTGCAACCTCCACCTCCTGGGTTCAAGTGATTCTCCTGCCTCAGCCTCCCTAGTAGCTGAGACTACAGGCGCCCGCCATCATGACTGGCTAATTTTTGTATTTTTAGTAGAGATGGGATTTCACCATGTTGGCCAGGCTGGACGCAAACTTCTGATCTCAAGCGATCATCCTACCTGCTGGGATTGCAGGTGTGTGCCACCCGCCCAGCCTCTCCTTATTTTAATGGTACACCGTTAAACATTTACCAGCTCACCACTGCTGGGTGTAGAGGAAGAGAATGAACTGAAAAGGCAGTGAACAAACTTTCTGGAGTGAGGGGAAGGGTTACATGGGTGTACAGAGTTGTAATAGTTCAAGAGGTTGAACACTGGAGAATCATACATTAATGGCTGAGTGAAGTGGCTCACGGCTATAGGCCCAGTGTTCTAGGAGGCCGAGACAGGAGGATCACCAGAGCCTAGGAGCTTGAGACCAGCCTGGGCGACGTGGGGAAACCCCGTCTTGACAAAAAAATACAAAAATTAGCCGGGCATGGTGGTGCATATTTGTGGCCAGGGACACTAGGGAGGCTGAGGTGGGAGGAGCCCTTGAGCCTTGGGAGGTCGAGGCTACAGTGAGCTTTGACCGTGCCACTGAACTCCAGCCTGGGGCCTGGGTGACTGAGTGAAAACTTCTCTCAAAAAAAAAAAAAAAAAAAATGGCCAAGAACAGTGGCTCACACCCGTAATCCCAGCACTTTGGGAGGCCAAGGCAGGTGGATCACCTGAGGTCAGGAGTTCGAGACCAGCATTACCAATATGGAGAAACCCTCGTCTCTACTGAAAACACAAAACATTAGCCGGTGTGGTGGTGCATGCCTGTAATCCCAGCTACTTGGAAGGCTGAGGCAGGAGAATCGCTTGAACCTGGGAGACAGAGGTTGCAGTGAGCTGAGATCACGCCACTGCACTCCAGCCTGGGCCAGAAGAGCGAAACTCCATCTCAAACAAACAAACAAACAAACAAACAAAAAGGGTAAAATACGATAAAGGGAAAACAATTGCTGGGCAGAACGGAAGGAACATGGAAACGGCCATGTCTCTGAAAGGGTTCGTGCTTATTTGAGGCAAGATGAGCATCCATCTGAATTGTGGGGGGCAATGAAAAGTAAAACCGAAAAACCCAGATTGTAGAATCCCAGGAGCAGCTTTCTCCAGGAGCAGTGTTTTGGTGGTGGTGGTTTTTTTTTTTTTTTTCAAACGGAGTCTCACTCTGTCACCCAGGCTGGAGTGCAACGGCCCGATCTCGGCTCACCGCAACACCTGCCTCCCGGGTTCAAGTAATTCTACTGCCTCAGCCTCCTGAGTAGCTGGGATTACAGGCATGAGCCACCACACCCGGCTAATTTTTGTAATTTTAGTAGAAATGGGGTTTCACTGTGTTGCTGGATTCGAACTCCTGACCTCAGGTAATCCATCTGCCTCAGCCTCCCACAGTGCTGGGACTATATAGGCTAATGGATGTGTAATGACAAAATCTTGGATCACTGCAACCTCTGCCTCCCGGGTTCAAGTGATTCTCCTGCCTCAGCCTCCTGAGTAACTGGGAATACAGGTATGCACCACCACACCTGGCTAATTTTTTGCATTTTAGTAAATACAGAGTTTCACTGTGTTGCCCAGGTTGGTCTCGAACTCCTGACCTCATGATCTGCCTGCCTCGGCCTCCCAAAGTGCTGGGATTACAGGCGTGAGCCACCGCACTTGGCCATAAAATGATCTTTCTTTTAATAAAGTATTATGGCTATTGTAGCAAGCAGTAAGGTGGTGCTTCAAAAAGTTCAACATAGAATTACCACATAATCCAGCAATGCCTCCTCAGAACATATACCCAAAAGAAATGAAAGCAAGGACTCAAACAGATACTTGCCCACCTGTGTTCACAGCAGCACGATTCACAATGGCCAGAAGATGGAAGCCACCCAAATGTCTAGTGGCAGACAAATGGGTATGCAAAATACAGTCCATCCACACAATAGAATATTATTCAGCCTTAAAAAGGAGGGAAATTCTGGCCAGGTGCGGTGGCTCATGCCTGTAACCCCAGCACTTTGGAAGGCTGAGGTGGGTGGATCGCCTGAGGTTGGGAATTCAAGACCAGCCTGATCAACATGTAGAAACCCTCCCTCTATTAAAAATACAAAATTAGCGGGCGTGATGGCACACGCCTGTAATCCCGGCTACTCGGGAGACTGAGGCAGGAGAATCTCTTGACCCAGGAGGTGGAGGTTGCCGTGAGCGGTTGCACTCCAGCCTGGGCAACAAGAGGACAAGAGCGAAACCCCATCACAAATTTTTAAAAAAAGAAGAAAAAAAATTTTTTTTTAACTGCTCCTTTTTGGATCAGGGCTACCCGACTGGAAGTATGCCCAGTGTAGTGAAGTTGGGAAATTCTAACACAGGCTACGACGTGCATGCACCTTGGGGACACCTCCCTCAGTGAAATATACCAGACACAAAAGGACAAAACCTGTGTGATCCCACTCATATGAAGTCCCTGGAATCATCAGATTCACAGGAAGTAGGATGGTGGGCGCCAGGAACTGGGGAGGAGGATAGGGAGTGAGGTTTCATAGGGAAAGTGTTTCAGTTTGGGAAGATGAGAAGTTTCTGGAGGTGGTGGTGGTGATGGTGGTAATTGCACAATCATGTGTACGTGCTAAATGCCGCTGAGCTGTGCATTTAAAAAATGGTTAAATGGCAGGTTTTATGTTATGTGTATTTTATTTATTTGTTTATTTTTGAGACAGAGTTTTGCTCCATCGTCAGGTGCCAGGGGAGTGCAGTGGCGCGATCTCGGCTCACTGCAACCTCCGCCTCCCAGGATTAAGCAATTCTCCTGCCTCAGCCCCCCGAGTAGCTAGGAATACAGGCGCACGCCACCACGCCCAGCTAATTTTTTTTTTTTATTTTTAGTAGAGACGGGGTTTTACCATGTTGGCCGGGATGGTCTCGATCCCTTGACCTCGTGATCCGCCCGCCTCGGCCTCCCAAAGTGCTGGGATTACAGGCGTGAGCCACCGCGCCTGGCCTATGTGTGTTTTATAGTAAATATGTTTTAACATGTGCATAATATATATCATTTTATTTGTCAATTAAATTTTTAAAAACATGTTAGAGCGGCCTTGCTCTGATGAAGGAGGGGGAGTAACTGACACTCCAAGGCGGTGGGCGCTGGGGGCGAGTGTCCACGCTCGCCACAAGATTAAATGGACTCTGGGTGGGTCTCGCTCACCGTTCTGGGGTCCTACGGATTCTCTCGGTTCCAGGCTGGGAACTTCGTGGGCGCTCAGAGGTCTAGCTACTCCCCTGCTCACCTGGTCTAGCTACTCCCCTGCTCACCTGTGCACGCCCATCTCCCCCCACCCCATCCCTCCATCTCCTCGCCTGCGCCCCCCCTTCTCGTGCCCCGTGCGCACGCGCACCCGCGCCGTGGGAAGGTAAGCGAGTGCGCATGCTCCGGGCCCCGCCTCGCGTCGGTGTCCGCCCCTTTCCCCTCCGAAAGGCGGCCTTGGTGTACTGCGCAGGTGCAGCAGCTGGGAGGCGGGTCCATCGCGGCTCCCGAGCCCGCTATCGCGAGAGGCCGGTCCGCGATCTTGTGGCCGCCCCTCCCCTCCCCCGGCCTCTCGGACTCCGGCTTCGGCGCCAGCCTAGATCGGGCCTCGGCGGCGGCGACACCATCGTCTCAGTCCCGACGCCCTTCGGCTATCCTCGGCCCCGTCCCGCAGCATCGCCCGTCCGATCCCCGCCCGCCCGATCCCGGCCCGCCCCCTATGGGCCCCGGCTAGAGGCACCGCCGCCGCCGGCCCGCGGAGCCCCGATGCTGGCCCGGAGGAAGCCGGTGCTGCCGGCGCTCACCATCAACCCTGCCATCGCCGAGGGCCCGTCCCCCACCAGCGAGGGCGCCTCCGAGTGAGTGGGCAGCGATCGGCCGGGGGATCGGGGTACACGGGGCAGGGGACCCTCGGGGGAGCACGGGGCTGGGGGTGCAGGAGGCAGGGGGTTCTTGGGATCGGCCAGGGGGATCGGGGTGCACTGGGCAGGGGACACTCGGGGGTGCACGGGGTGAGGGTGCAGGGGGCAGGGGGTTCTTGGGATCGGCCGGGGGATCGGGGTGCACGAGGCACGGAGCCCTGGGGGAAGGACAGGGCGAGGGGTGCAGGGGCACGGGGCAGGGGGAGGATGGGGCGAGGGGTGCAGGGGGCGGGGGATTCTCGAGGGGGAGGACAGGGCTAGGAGTGCAGGGACCTGTCGAAAGAGGATGGGGCGAGAGGTGCAAGGAGCGCTTGGAGGTGGACGGCGCGAGGGGTACACGGCGCAGGGGGTCCTCGGGGAGGACTGGGCGAAGGGTGCACGGGGCAGGGGGTTCTGGGCCGGTGATGGGACTTTGAGCAGTGAGGTTGGGTGAGGGAAGGTCCTTGTGGTGGAAAAGATGCAGTGTGGGGCTCCTGATGAGTGAAATTGGGATGAGGGAAGTCCCTGAGTAGTGAAGTTGGGGTGAAGGATGGGATCAAGGGTCCCTGAGCAGTGCGATTGTGTGAGGGAGGTCCCTGCAGTGCAGAAGATGGGGCGTAGAGCTTTTGAAAAGTGAGATTGGGGTGAGAGGAGTCCCTCAGGAGGAAAATCGGAGTGAGGGGTGTCCCTAAGAGGAGAGAACAGGATGAGGGTCCCTGAGCAGTGAGATCGGGATGTCTCTAAGAGAAAAGGGGTGTCTCTAAGAGAAAAGAGTGTGGGGCCCCTGAGTAGTGAAATGGGGGTGAAGGGTTCCTAAGAGGAAAGAGCAGACGGGTGCCTTAGTCATGAGATGAGGGTGAGGGGAGCCCCTGAGTAGGGAAATCGGGGTGCAAGGTGTTCTTGAGAGGGGAGGATGGGGTGAGGGTCCTCGAGGAGTGACATCGGGGTGAGGGGGGGGTCAGGCAGCCCTTGAGGAGGGAATTTGGCCAAGCGGGCTCCAGAGGAGAGTGGGTGGTGAGGGGTCCCCGAGTGATGAGACTGAGATGAGGTAGGGGTCCCGGGTAGGAGAAGATGGGGTGGGGGCCCCTCAATAATGAGGGTGGGCCAAGGGAGGTCCCTCTGGGAAAAGACAGGGCGTGGAGTCTCTGAGTAGCAGAACAGCGATGGGTCTTTGAGTGGTGAAATTGGGCTGAAGGGAGGGAATGGGTGAGTGGTCCCTGAACAGTGAAATCTGGGGGATGGGGGGGTCCCTGAGTAATGAGATTGGAGTGAGGGGAGATCCTTGGGGAAAAGATGGGGTTTGGCGTCCCTAAGTAATGAGATCAGGCCAAGGAGATGTCCTTGCAGAGAGAAGATGGGGTGCAGGGGCCCTGAGTTGTGAGATGGGGTTGAGGGGGTCCCTGGGAGGAGAGGATGGGGCGGGTACCTATAGGGGAAAGGATGGGCGAGGGGTGTCCTGCATAGTGAAATGACAGTGAAGTGAGTCCCTGTGGGGGACAGGTGGGGTGAGGGGTCCCTACGGGGGAAAGACAGGGTGGGAGGGTCCCTCAGCCACGAGTTGAGTGTTGCACCTGCGGAGGACAGGCTAAGAGGTCTCGGATGGCAGGGAGTGGTCCTTCTGGGGGCGAGTCCCTGAGTGATGAGGTCGGGGTGGGATGAGAAGGACACCTAGGGAGCGGGGGGAGGGGAGGTCCCTCAGGGGAGAGGATGGGCTGAGGAGGTCCACAGAGAACCAGGAAAAAGGAAAGAGAGGGGAGGACGGGGGGCTCCCAGGGGGTCAGGGTCAAGATATGGGGGGTCCTAGGAGGTCAGGATGGGGTGGGGGACCCTAGAGGGATCAGGATGGAGGGGCTCTATGGGGGTCAGGATGGGAGTTCTGGAGCATCTCAGGACAAGGAGGGGTCCTAGGGGAGTCAGGACATGGGGGCTCTAGTGGGTTGAGGATAGTTCTAGGGGGTTCAGGATGGGGGGTTTCTGTGGGGGAGTCTAGTGGGTCAGGATGGGGGTCCTGGGGGGTCATGTTGAGGGGATTCTTGAGGGGTCAGGACGGGGGTCCCAGGGGAGTCAGGGTGGGCATCTCTGAGAGGGCATCTCCTGCTTGTGGCGGTGCCTGGTGTGTGGAGTCCCCAAAGCTGGAAGCATGGTAAGGGGACAGGGAAGGGGGAGTGTGAGGATTGAGGAGGCGCAGGGGTGACGGGACCCTGCTGACCCCTGAAAGCAGAGGTGGAGATTCTAAAGCGAGTGGACTGGAAATCCTCGTGAGTGGCTGACCCAGTGCGGAAGCTTTGAGGAGGTGGAGGGCGACTGGAGGCCTGGGTGAAGGAGTCTGAGAAAGAGGCACGCTGCGGGGGCAGGGGGCGGTGGCAGAATCGCACTGCTCCAGGATGAGGGAGGGGACTGGGTATTGGAGGCACATGCTTGTGGGGTCACGCCAGGGTGACCTCTGCACGCTGCTCTGCACGCTGGGGTGGAACAATCCCTGGGGCCTTTGGCCGGGGTCTGGGTGCCGTGCCTGTGGTGTGACCCCACGAGAACCTGGTGTTGGGAACTGTGGCATGTCTGGTGGCCTCCCCTGCTCAGGGGCCGGCCCTCTGTGGCCCAGATGAAGAAGACTCTTGATGCCATTGTGTGCGAGTCAACACGGTCACAGCTAGACACAGGAACCTGCTCCTCATTCTCCACACAGAACTCACCCAGCCCATTCTCTTCCATGAGGGATTTGATTTCCATCCCTTAAAGGATCCCCCAAGGCAGGAAGCCAGCTATGGGGACCCCAAGGTTTTGATTTGTTTAATAACCGAAGTTGAGTTGCCACTAAGTTTAATCTGGATTAGTCAGCTAAGTCCAGAACGCATTTTCCACGCTCTGAGACTTGACACCTTCCAAGTCTCCCGTCAGAAGCACTCAACCGTGGCCAGGCGCCGTGGCTCACGCCTGTCATCCCAGCACTTTGGGAGGCCTAGGTGGGTGGACCACTTGAGGCCAGAAGTTCAAAACCAGCCTGGCCAACACGGTAAAACCCTGTCTCTACTAAAAGGGCTAAAAAAAAAAATCAGCTGGACATGGTGGTGTACGCTGTAATCCCAGCTACTCCTGTGAGTCCCCCTGCCCCTGTGAGTCCGTTCCCTGCTGCCTGGGCCTCCGGGAGTGAGGTGAGAATGGAATGAGATGGTGTTGTGCGGCCCAGGAAGCAGAGCCCAGGACCCTGCCTTCCAGCGAGCTCTTTGCGGGACCAGCTCTGGCTCTGTCACCTCGTTTCTGGCCTGTGGGCCCCATGGCTCACGATTCTTCCAGCTATAGGTGAATAGTGGTCGAACATGGGGACTGGAAGTTTCCAGATGCAATCAGCAGTCCACCCCTTCTTCATTCCCTGCTTCAGTCCCCTCTGTGGCTGTCTGCCCTGGCTTCAGGTCCTTCCAGAATCGGGACCGCTAGAGATGGCCTGGTCTTCCAGAGAGATGTTTAGAGCTGCACTGTCTGGTTCAGTAGCCCACAGGCAGCGCTAAAAATGAAAATGGCCCAAATCCACAAGAGCACAGGCGCCATGTTGCCATTGTCGATTTCAAAGGTATAAGAAATCTGCGAAGCATTCATTCATTTTTCATATTCGTTGTATGTTGAAAATGATAACATGTTTGATGGGTTACATCACATGTGTTATTAAAATTAATTTCAGCCAGGTACAGTGGCTCACGCCTGTTATCCCAACACTTTGGGAGGCCGAGGCGGGCAGATCGCTTGAGCCTGGGAGTTCAAGACCAGCCTGACCAACATGGCGAAACCTCGCCTCTACTAAAAATACAAAAATTAACCAGGTGGGGTGGCAGGCATTTGTAATTCCAGCTACTCGGGAGGCTGAGGCAGGAGAATCGCTTGAACCTGGGAGGCGGAAGTTGCAGTGAGCCGAGATCACACCCCCGTATTCCAGCCTGGGCGACGGAGTGAGACTCTGTTTCAAAAATAATAATTAATTAAAAATAGCCAGATATGATGGCCCATACCTGTGATCCTACCTGCTAGGAAGGCTGAGGTGGGAGGATCAGTATTGGATGAGAGTTGGAGGCTACTCTGATCAGGCCACTGCACCCCAGCCTGGGAGACAGAGCAAGACTCCGTCTCTAAGTGAATAAATACATGAAATCAGTTCACCTGTTCTGTTTAAACGTGGGTACTGGAAGATTTCATTTTGTACGCATGGCTTCCATTCCATTTCTTTTGCCCGGCGCTGAGTTCATGTGTGCATTGAACTCAATTATCTATCGCAGAGAAGTTGTTACTCCAGGGTCTGGTTCCAAGTCAAGGCATTTGTGAAAACAGCTTACTGTTGAAATTTCCTCGGAAATTCCTTGAATCACCCAATAAAGTGCAATGTACATGCTTGTTTAAATTTTTAAAAAATGTTTATTGTTTAGAGACAGGGTCTTGCTGTGTCACCGAGGCTGGAGTGCATTGTCGTGATCATGGCTCACTGCAGCCTCCACCTCCTGGGTTCAAGTTATTCTCCCGCCTCAGCCTCCTGAGTAACTGGAACTACGGACATATGCCTTCATCCTCGGCTAGAAGGTCTTGGCTTTGTTGCCCAGGCTGGTCATGCTTTTTTTTGAGACAGCATTTTCCTCTGCTGCCCAGGCTGGAGTGCAATGGCAAGATCTCAGTTCATTGTAGCCTCTGCCTCCCAGGTTCAAGCAGCTCTCATACCTCAGCCTTCCGAGTAGCTGGAACTGCAAACATGCACCACCGTGCCCGCCTGATGCAGCTTTTGCGCTGCGCCTTCTGCCTTCCCTCTTGATTCTCATTCTGTGTTCTGAGGCTGCTCAGAACACTTGTTCCTGTATTTCCTGAAAAGACAGGTGTCCTGGTCCGGGCTCCATTAGACCCATCCTGGTTTCCTCATCTCCTCCCGAGGTGGTTAGGAAGCTTGCTCGTTAGGAAGGAAGCCTCCTGTGCGATGGCTCACACCTGTAATCCCAGCACTTTGGGAGGCCAAGGAAGGCAGATCACTTAAGGTCAGGAGTTCGAGACTAGCCTGACCAACATGGTGAAACCCCGTCTCTACTAAAAATACAAAAACTGGCTGGGCGTGGTGGCATGCGCCTGTAATCTCAGCCACTTGGGAGGCTGAGGCAGGAGAATCGCTTGAACTCGGGAAGCAAACGTTGTGGTAAACTGAGATTGTGCCATCGCACTCCAGCCTGGGTGACAGAGGGAGACTCCATCTCAAAAAAGAAAAGAAAAGAAAGGAAAAAGACGGAATCCTCCTGGGTCCTCTGAGCTGCCGCTTGTCGTCAAGGTCCTGAGGTCCGCTAGACTTGGTAGACGGGATCAAGGCAGCATCCTTAGTTCCTGGGGAGCTGCCCTGGATTCTGATCATTAGTGTGTCTGCTGGGGGCACACAGCATGGATCCCTCTTTCCTTCTACACCGTAAACCCTTCAAGTGCAGGAATCCAGTCTGTGTCCTCCTGGGGGCCGGTGCGCCACGGCCATGCGGTAAACACGGCCAGGTGGAGTCATCCCGTGGATGCTAACCCTGCCCTGGGGGCTCTCTGCAGGGCAAACCTGGTGGACCTGCAGAAGAAGCTAGAGGAGCTGGAACTTGATGAGCAGCAGAAGAAGCGGCTGGAAGCCTTCCTCACCCAGAAAGCCAAGGTCGGCGAACTCAAAGACGATGACTTTGAAAGGATCTCGGAGCTGGGCGCAGGCAACGGCGGGGTGGTCACCAAAGTTCAGCACAGACCCTCGGGCCTTATCATGGCCAGGAAGGTGAGCGCTGTGGGGCGGGGAAGGTCCCCCTGGAAACAGGAGGCAGGCTAGAAAGGCAGCTAGGTCTCCGCGTTCTGACGGGCTCCAGGTTCCATCCCTCATCCCTACGAGGTACTCTAGGTTCTGAGAAAGAGCTCAGCTTCTGGGCAGATGGGAACGGTGCTGGCCACACCAGCCACACACAGCTGTGCCCTCTGGTGACTGCCTTCTGCCCTGGAGGGCGCTTAAAATCCACATTCCCAGAAAGTTAGGAAGTGGGGATTTCGGGAATATGAGTGTGTTAGGGTTCGCCAGAGAAGCAAGCGAGGAGGCGTGTGTGCGTGTTTGCATCTGTGCATGCAGCGGGGGTGACATGAGATATCAGGCCATGTTTTTGCTCCGCCTTCTGTATGTTTTTGAGATGGAGTCTCGCTCTGTCGCCCAGGCTGGAGAACAGTGGTGCCATCTCGGCTCACTGCAACCCCTGCCTTCCAAGTTCAAGCGATTCTCTTGCCTGAGGCTCCCAAGTAGCTGGAATTACAGGCACACACCACCATGCCCAGCTAAATTTTTTGTATTTTTAGTAGAGGTGGGATTCACCGTGTTGGCCAGGCTGGTCTCGAACTCCTGACCTCAAGTGATCTTCTCGCCTCAGCCTCCCAAAGTGCTGGGATTACAAGTGTGAGCCACCGTGCCTGGGCAGGCTTTTCCCTGCAGGACTTCAGCTGATTCGCTGAGATTCACCCACACTGGGGTGGAGTAATCTGCTTTGCTCCGAGTCTGCGGATTTAAAGGTTAATCACATCTTAAAAACATACCTTCCCAACACCCTCTAGACTGGTGTTTGACTACTGGACCCCATAGTCTCACCAAGGAGACACATAAAGCTGGCTGTCACCCCACGCTTTGAGAATCTGCAATCTTTGGTGCTGGCGGCCCCCAGGCTCAGTCATCCTTGCTTCTGGGCCATGATGCAGCCTCTCTGCTGTATGTTTGAGAATGGCACCCATGGGATGAGGAAGGGTGTGAACACTTGGGGATAGTGACTCTTAAACACATAAGCGGAGGATTTCATGTTGACAGGGTGTTCAGCTCCTTACCTGTGTTCTCCCAGACATAGAACACTGCCTCTTCCGGGAAGCCCACCATCCTGTAGTTTCCCAAGCGGGGGGAACCTAGCTGCCCCCAGTAAAGTGGGTCCCTGAGGGTCCCAGCATCTCTTGAGGGCCCTGCCATCCTCAGCAGTAGTGGCTCAGCTCCCACGGGGATTTAGCTCTGCAGCTCTGTCTTCTTGCGTCTAGAGCTCCGCCCTCCCTCCCTCCTGAAGTCTGCAGCCGTGGACCTGCTATTTCTGTCCCTGGACTGCAGGCAGCCGCTTCCAAACCAGAGCAGCCCTGGAAAGCTCAGGTCCGCCTCTGCCCAAAGCACCGGGAGGAAAACGGCAAGCGTGTGCTTCACACGGCCACAGAGGGGCCTTGAGACAGAGTGCCAGTCCCCGTGTGTGCCAGGGACCCTCGGGCTTCTCAGGGAGCCCCCGGTGGTCCCTGATGGGCTGGGCAGTGGACACGAACCCAGTACCCGCCGCATGAGCAGCTCCTGCTCCCGCTGACAGGCACAGGGGTGGCCGGGGCCACCGGCAGCTTTACGGTAGCCCGGGAAGGGCCATCTGGGCCTTTAATCCCGAGGGCAGGTGTGGCTGGGCAGGTTCTGTGGTTTGGTGGGTAGTGATGTCACAGCCTCGAGGTTTCCGTACTGTCCTTCCGTCACGAAAGATGTCAGTCACCTTGGGGGAGGCGGGGAAAGGGCACACGGGACTTGGTGCTATTTTTGCAACTTCCTGTGCTTCTGTAACTCTTTCAAAATTAGGTTTTCTTTAAAGTGCCCAAAAACTCGGGGGCGGGAGACGATGCATGGAGCACGAGGGCGCAGCGTCTCTGGCTGGTATTGCAGGTGGGGCTGCAAGGGTTCCTTTCGTCGCATTTTATTTATTATTTGCGTTTTTAATTAATTATTCATTTATTTATTTTTGAGACGGAGTCTCACTCTCACCCAGGCTGGAGTGCAGTGGCGCGATCTCTGCTCACGGCAACCTCCACCTCCCATGTTCAAGCGATTCCCCTGCCTCAGCCTCCTGAGTAGCTGGGATCACAGGCATGCGCCACCATGCCCGGCTAGTTTTGTATTTTTAGCAGAGACAGGATCGCTCCATGTTGTTCAGGCTGGTGTCGCCATTGCACTCTAACCTGGGCGACGGAGCAAGACTCCATCTCAAAAAAGGAAAGACAGTGTTTTTTAATCCTTCATCCACTGTGCCGGGTAGAATTCTGAAATTCTGCAGAGGACGGTGTGAATTCCACGCAGAGTTGGTACAGAGTTAACTGCAAACAGACGACCTTATCAGATCTCCACACACAGCTTCTCGGAGGCCTGCATGCACCCCGCTGTGGGGCCAGCGGCACTGGTCCCTTTGGTTGGCAAGGGTTGTCCCAGCCTGTGTGATGTGCTCCAGGAGAGCAAGGGACCCATTTGAAGGCCTGAGGAAACCAGTGTCGGATGTTGTTTTCCTTGTCTTGTTTTGAGACAGGGTCTTACTCTGTCGCACCAGCTGGAGTGCGGTGGCATGATCACAGCTCACTGCCTCCTCTGCCTCCCAGGTTCAAGTGATTCTTGGGCCTCAGCCTCCCGAGTAGCTGGGCTACAGTTGAGCACCACCATGCCCAGCTAATTTTTGTATTTCCAGTAGAGACAGGATTTTACTATGTTGGCCAGGCTGGTCTCAAACTCCTAGCCTCAAGGAATCCACCCATCTTGGCCTCCCAGAGTGCTGGGATTACAGACGTGAGCCACCGTGCCTGGCCCAGCTTCAGTGTTTCAGGTCATGCTTGCTTTTAAATGCCTTCTTGGCTTGACCATGGCCTCTGACCCCTCTCCGCTGGAGCAGCGTCCCTGCGTTACCTGGGCGGGGGGAGATGCTGGAGAGCCTCATGCTTATTACGCATCTGCGGCTTCTTTGAATTCCCCATACTCACAGCAGGGATGGGTTTGTTTGGCCTTGCATCTGAGTTCCTCCGCTCCGCCATAGCTTACTTCCGGGATGGCAGTCACACGGCCTGCCCAAGGCCACCTCACTGTACCAGCTGCTGTCTCACAGGTGACTACCTGAGTCCAAGCCGATGCCAATACCTTGACATGTGTTCTCATTAAAATCGAGCAGCAGCCCCATTTTACAGTTGAAAAAAACCGAGGCTGAGTGAGGTCAGTGCCTGAATTGGATTTGAACCCTTGGATCTGCCCTGACTCGGGAGCAGCCAATTTTTTTTTTTTTTTTTTTGAGTTGGAGTCTTGCTCTGTCACCTAGGATGGAGTACAGTGGCACGATCTTGGCTGCAACCTCCGCCTCCCAGGTTCAAGCAGTTCTGTCCCAGCCTCCTAAGTAGCTGGGATTGCAGGCATCCGCCACCAGGCCTGGCTAGTTTTTGTATTTTTAGTAGACACTGTGTTTCACCATCTTGGCCTGGCTGGTCTTGATCTCTTAACCTCGTGATCCACCTGTCTCGGCCTCCCAAAGTGCTAGTATTAAGGCATGAGCCACTGTGCCCGGCCTTGTGTGTGTTCGTTTTTTTTAAATCTCTTATAGAGATGAAGTCTTGCTGTGTAGCCCAGTCTTGAACTCCTGTGCTGAGGCGATCCTCCCACCTCAGCCTCCCTAGGCACTGGAATTACAGATGTGGGCCACTGTGCCTGGCTCTCTGCTGATTTTTGACAACAACTAATTCAGAATGTTTGGAAACATAGTGTGGGCCACACTTGACTCTTGGCTCCAGCCAACCCGGGAGCTGTCAGTTTCTGATCTGTGATTTACAACGTTGCTGAGATCATTCCAGACGCAGCCCTTTGGGGTGACAGCCTGGTCCTCCTCTCCCCCTTCGGCTCTCTCAGACACTCAGTGAAGCCCTTTCCCCCTCTTTCTACTCTGAATCCCCCAATCCCACCCCACCCTCGACTCAAATTCCTCACTCTTCTGTAGAATGAGGCTTCACCTCCGAGCCAGGCCTGGGTTTCTGAATTAACCCCTGACACATCCGTATTTAATCACTTGTTAGAGCTGGCATGGCTGAGCAGTGGTGTCCCGGAAAGAACACGAGCCCTACTGTCCCCTGAGGCCAGCCCCATCCTGACTGAGCGGCTAATGCCACCGGGAACTTGGCTCCGAGGCTCCGCATCTGAGCTTTCTCCGTCAGCAGGACTGGGGCAGTACGCCCGTCCCCTGGGGTTGGGTTGTCAGGGCGAACTGCAGAGGGTGCAGGGGCTCAGAAACACCCCCTCCCTTCCTGTCTGTCTGTCTTCCTTTCTCCCGCATACCATCAGTGGTGGCCACCCGTTCATCTGGAATGCCTGCTGGACGGGCCCCAGGTATTCCAGAACCATTAAAACAGATCACACCGCAGCTGCGCTGTGCAGACCTCTGCTGTTTACTACAGCTTTCCAGAAAGCCTCTCGCTTCCGACGGCATTTCACGTTAGGGGCTCCCGGGTTCCAAGGCCCCTGGGATTCCTTCCAGGCCTGCCAAGTCTTGTCTGCCACTTCCTCTTCTCATCCGAAATCACCGCTCGCAGACGGACAGCCGAACACACGTGCTTTCCTGCTGCTTGTCACTCACCTGTGGCTCCTTTGAAGTTTCTCGTCTGGAGCTATGCCATCCAAGACAGCAGCCCCGATCAGGTGTGGCCACCAGGCTCTTAATATGCAGTTAATCCAGATATGCTGAACGGGGAAGACACCTCCCAGGCTTCAGGGGCTTGGTGTGAACACAGATGTGGCCATTTCGAGTAAATGTCCCGACCACCACGTGAACTTCCCAGCCTCAGTACCAGGCCCTCGTGGAACAGGAGCGGGCATTAGCACCTCTCAGATACAGCCTGGCTAGAGGGGGAGCCTCCTGGGGTGCCGGGGTGACCCTGGGACCTGTGGGGGTCACCGTGAGGGAGCGGAGCCGAGGGGCCTCCGACTGGAGCTGGATTCTGCAGGCTGGCCTGAGGGAAGAAGCCAGAGTGAAAGGGGCAGGCGGTGCCAGGGCCAAGTCAAGGTGGGGAGACGCTTTACCTGAGGAGCGGCCGGGCGAGGGGAGCTGGGCACCGTGCCCCTGGGCCCCGCCATGCTTCTCAAGGTCACAGGCCTACAGCAGGGGCGCTCCCCTCCCACACCCTGTGCTGTGGCGATGGTCAGCCTCCGCTGCCCCGTACGCAGCACGGGCTCCTTCATGCCTCCATGCCCGTCGACAGGCGGCTCTTTGTCCTCTGCCCAGGACACCCTCCCCCATCTCCTCCTCATGACGGCTCTGTCTTTCCTTGAGGCCTGGCTCCAGTGTCACCTCCTTGCTGCTGCTCCCCGTGCACCTGGGCTGATTCTCCTTGGCGGCATTTCTGCCCCATCAGGGTGGTTTTACCCATGCCTGTTCCTGTCCTGACCCTGGGTCTCCTCCAGCTCCAGGCAGGAGCCGCCTCTGTTTTTAGCTGCCCCAGCACTGACTCTGCACAGCCAGGACTGCTTTGCCCCCGTGGTGGATGAGTGGAAACCATGTCTTTTTCTTGTCTTATTGCTGTGGCTAGAGGGGACGCTTATTCGCCCCGGTGCTGGCCCAAAGCCTCAGGCCGCTACTTGCTGCACTGGGGGTCCTGGCTCTCCTGGGGCTTGTCCATGGGGTTAAGAGTGCCTGTGATGTTTTATCTAATGTCCTTTCTGCATTTTTTTTTTTTTTTTTTTGAGATGGAGTCTCACTCTGTCACCTGGGCTGGAGTGCAGTGGTGCGACCACAGATCCCTGCAACCTCCACCTCCCAGGTTCAAGGAATTCTCCTGCCTCAGCCTCCTGAGTAGCTGGGATTACAGGCACCCGCCACCATGCCTGGCTAATTTTTTTTTTTTTTTTTTTTTGTATTTTTAGTAGAGACGGAGTTTCACCAGCTTGGCCAGGCTGGCCTTGAACTCCTGACCTTGTGATCCACCTGCCTTGGTCTCTCAAAGGGCTGGAATTATAGGTGTGAGCCACCGCACCCAGCCCATCACAGTTTTACAGTATTCCATCACCCCAAAAACAACCCTGTCTACACAGCATTCACCCACATCCCCTCCAGCCCCCAGCACCCACGCATCCCCCACCCTCCTCTCTGGATTGGCCCATCCTGGACATTTCGTATAAATGGGATCACGCACTGTGGCCTTTTGAGTCTGGCATCTCTCACTGAGTGTGACATCCTCACGGTTCATCCATGCTATGGCCCGGGTCAAGGCCTGGTTCCTTTTCATGGCTGAGTCCTGCTCCGGTGAGGGGCTGGGCTGCCCTGGGTGGATGCCTGGGTTCTTTCCGCCCTCCTGCTGTGAATCGTGCTGCTGTGTGCACTTGTGGACAAGTCTCAGCATGGATGTACATGTCCACTTCTCCTAGACGGACACCTCGGGGTGGAATTACTGAGAGGAGAGGGCGGGGCTGAGTTCGTCTTGACCGCTGTTGTAAACGCCTGCAAAGTGGAGGCCCCAAATGCCCTCATCCCCTTTCCGGGTGCCCCTAAGTGGCTGGTCTCACCCCCTCTCTCCTGGCAGCTGATCCACCTGGAGATCAAGCCGGCCATCCGGAACCAGATCATCCGCGAGCTGCAGGTCCTGCATGAGTGCAACTCTCCCTACATCGTGGGCTTCTACGGGGCTTTCTACAGCGACGGGGAGATCAGCATCTGCATGGAGCACATGGTGAGTGCGCCCGAGGCCCGGGCCAGCAGTGGGCAGGGCAGGGCCCCCACTGGAACAGAGGCTCCCTTTCTCGGCCCCTTTCCTTGAAGACAACAGTGCGCCAGCTTCCAGGGGATTCTTCTCAGGGCAGTTGCTGCCGTACAAGCATGTGTATATAGATGCCTTTGGTTTGCTTTGGTTTTCTGAGATGGAGTCTCGCCCTGTCGCCAGGCTGGAGTGCAACAGCGCGATCTCCGCTCACTGCAACCTCTACCTCCCGGGTTCAAGCCGTTCTCCTGCCTCAGCCTCCTGAGTAGCTGGGATTACAGGTGCCTGCCACCATGCCCGGCTAATTTTTGTATTTTTTTTTTTTTTTTTGGAGACGGAGTTTCACTCTTGTTACCCAGGCTGGAGTGCAATGGCGCGATCTCGGCTCACCGCAACCTCCGCCTCCTGGGTTCAGGCAATTCTCCTGCCTCAGCCTCCTGAGTAGCTGGGATTACAGGCACGCGCCACCATGCCCAGCTAATGTTTTGTATTTTTAGTAGAGACAGGGTTTCACCATGTTGACCAGGATGGTCTCGATCTCTTGACCTCGTGATCCACCCGCCTCGGCCTCCCAAAGTGCTGGGATTACAAGCGTGAACCACCACACCCGGCCTAATTTTTGTATTTTTAATAGTGACGGGGTTTTACCATGTTGGCCAGGCTGGTCTCAAACTCCTCACCTCAGGTGATCCGCCTGCCTCGGCCTCCCAAAGTGCTGGGATGACAGCCGTGAGCCACCGGGCCTGGCTGATGATTTTGTTTTTAAGCACTCACGCCCTCCTCGCAGCTTTGCGTTTTCTCTTGCTGTATCAAGGTGTCACTCTCTGACAGCAGAGAGGGGAAACACTCCCATTTTGGGAGGCACGCAGGTTGTTTCCATCTCGAATAACATGGCACTGACTTTCAGGCAAACCTGTGACATGAAGCCCTGTAAGGGAATTGCTGGGTTCCAGGCCATGTGCAGTTAAAAACTGATCACTATCAGGCTGGGCACGGCGGCTCATGCCTGTAATCCTAGCACTTTGGGAGGCCGAGGCAGGAGGATCGCGTCAGCCCAGGAGTTCGAGAGCAGCCTGGGTAACATAGTGAGGAACCATCCCTATCATCTAAAATGGTAGCTGAGTGTGGTGACAGGTGCCTGTTTTAAAATTTTTAAAAACACTTAGAAATGGGAATAAAAGTAGTTCCAGCTACATGCGAGGCTGAGGTGGGAAGATCACTTGAGCCCAGGAGGCTGAGGCTGTAGTGAGCTGTGATCACACCACTGCCCTCTAGCCTGGGCGGCAGAGCGAGACGCTGTTTCAAAACAAAACGGATTACTATTTCTAAATCGCCTTCTCAGGCAGGTGTGGCGGTGTGAGCTTGTCGGGGTGGGCCTTTGTGCCCCCAGCTCAGATCTGCGGCGTCACCGTCTCTAGGCTGGGGCACGGGCACCCCCTCTGTTGACTCTGACGTGCCCCCTGGTTAAGACACTGTGGCATTGAAGCCCAGAAGTGGGTGGGATTGGGTGTAACAAAAGGAGAAGTGGCCAGAGCTCGAGGCCCCGGAGGAAACGCTGCCGACCCCACCAAACCGAGCCTGGCAGGCATCAGACCGCCCGCCACACGGCGCCCTTTGCAAAACCAGAATGCCTGGGTGACACCCTGCAAACGTGCGATTCCCTTTGACAGTTTCGTAATGAAGGCAGGAAGTGAATTTGAGCAAGGACCCCACGGAGCCATGTGACCCGAGCCAGGCAGCACCCGGCTTGGAGCCCCTTTCCCCGCCTTCGAGGGAGACCTGGTGTCTGCCCTGCTGCTCGCAGAGTCATGGTGCTGGTGGCATCAAAGGTTGAGGAAAGGATGAGGAAGCGCTTTGTGGTCTGAGGAGCCCCCTCGGTCGTATTGTGCTCCCCCTTCCTCCTCCTCGCCTTCCTCCTCTTCCCCCTCCTGCTCGAGCCCGGCAGGCAACCTCGCTACTCAGGAGCTCTGTCTGTGCTCCCCTCGTGTGGCTGACTCAGCTCTCGAGCCCCCTGCTTCCCACGCAGAAAAGGGAGAGCGTCGCAACCCACCCCCACCTTCTGTTCTTGGTGAATTTAAAGTGGGGGTTCCCAAGCCGGGCGCGGTGGCTCACAGCTATAATCCCAGCACTTTTGAAGGCCGAGGTGGGCGAGTCACAAGGTCAAGAGATCGAGACCATCCTGGCCAACAGGGAGAAACCCAGTCTCTACTAAAAACACAAAAAAAATTTGCAGGGCGTGGTGGCGCACGCCTGTAATCCCAGCTACTTGGGAGGCTGAGGCTGGCGAATCGCTTAAACCTGGGAGACAGAGGTTGCAGCGAGCTGAGATCATGCCATTGCACTCCAGCCTGAGCAACAGAGCGAGAACACATCTCAAAAAAAAACAAAAACAAAAACATGACTCACACCTGTAACCCTAGCACTTCGGAAGGCTCGGGTGGGCAGATCAGGAGTCCATGACCAGCTTGGGCAACATAGTGCAGCCCATCTCTGCAGAAATACAAAAATCAGCCAGGCGTGGAAGCATGCGCCTGTCATCAGCTACTCGGGACGAGAGTGGCTTGAACGCTGGAGGCGGAGGTTGCAGTGAGCTGATTGCACCACTGCACTCCAGCCTGGGTGACAGAGCAAGAAAAAAAAACATGGAGCATGTTGATTTGAAAGCATCAGGTGAGCCCTGACGGGGCAGCACCTCAAGGGGGACATCCCGACATCCTCGCCGGTCCTGTGGCTCCTCTTCATGCTGAACGATGCCTTCAGAATTCACCCGAGTGAATTCCGTGGCGGGGCCTGCTCAACACCTGTGTCATTCCCTCCCAGGCCTCCCCAGTAAGCCAAGGCGGGCAGCTTAGCGCCGAGGCTAAGGATAGGCGCCCAGGTCAGGCCTCCGCCCCACCGCTCATTCTCACTGCAGGACTTGGGACAGGACTCTTGCCGCTTCTGCTGTGAAATCGAGGGAGGTAGTAGTCCCTGCTGGGGTGAGGACCACGTGAGCTCCTCCCGGGACGGCACCCAGCACACACGGGGTGTTGCATCCGTGTCCTGGCTGCTGTGGCCATTTCCCTGTATTTCTACATTATTTCCCCATATTTCTATGCCATCTTTATTTATTTATTTTTTTTTTAATTTTTTATTTTTTTTGAGACGGAGTTTCACTCTTGTTACCCAGGCTGGAGTGCAATGGCGCGATCTCGGCTCACCGCAACCTCCGCCTCCTGGGTTCAGGCAATTCTCCTGCCTCAGCCTCCCGAGTAGCTGGGATTACAGGCACGCGCCACCATGCCCAGCTAATGTTTTGTATTTTTAGTAGAGACGGGGTTTCACCATGTTGACCAGGATGTTCTCGATCTCTTGACCTCGTGATCCACCCGCCTCGGCCTCCCAAAGTGCTGGGATTACAGGCTTGAGCCACCGCGCCCGGCTCTATGCCATCTTTATTTTGCATTTCTTTCTTTCTTTTTCTGGAGGGTGGGGAGTACAAGGTCTCTCTCTGTCACCCAGGCTGGAGTGCAGTGGCATGAGCCAAGCTCACTGAAGCCTGACTTCTTGGGCTGAAATGATCCTCCTGCCTCAGCCTCCTGTAGCCGGGACAACAGGTGCGCCAGCACACCCAAGTAGTTTTTAAGTTTTTTGTACATGTGAGATCTCACTATATTGCTCAGGCTGATCTTGAACTCCTCGGCTCAAACGATTCTCTTGCCTCAGCCTCCCAAATTGCTGAGATGACAGGCGTGAGCCGCTGCGCCCAGCCATGTATGTATCACTTGTTGGTGACTGCAGCTTAGGAACAGTGGGGCCGGCTGCTTCCCTGGGGCCTGAATCTATTACTGGATAACTCGGGGCAGGAACCCAGAGGACAGCGGGGCATCATGGGACGGGGGCAGATAGCCGGTGGCTTACGGACCTCGTAGAGGTGTCCTTGGCCTTCCTAGGGGTCTAGTCAAATCCGAAGAATACCCGTCCTTGTTCTGCGGTAATGGAAAGTAGACGTGTCCATCAGTAAGGGAGTGATTAAAGAATGATATTTGGCTGCTTTGCAGTGGTAAAGTGAAATCCACAAGGGCATACTGAATGGGAACATCCCCCAAGTCCACCGTTAGTGTGGGGGAGGGGTGGATGCAGAAAACAACATAGTGCGAGCCTGTCCATTGATTTATCGTATTTCCAAGTCAGCGTCTTGCTGCGTTGCCCAGGTTGCAGTGCACTGGTGCTATCCTCTGACCTCAGCCTCCTGAGTAGTTGGGGCTACAGGCATGAACCACCACGCACAGCTAATTTATTTGCTTATTTTTGTAGAGAGAGGGTCTCTCTATGTTGCCCAGGCTAGTCTTGAACTCCTGGCCACAAGTGACCCTCCTGCCTCGACCTCCCAAAGTGCTGGGATTATAGGTGTGAGCCCACTTTGATGTTATTTTAAACTCTGGCTGGGCAAACAAGCCTTTATTTTTTCTGAGATGGAGTCTTGCTCTCTTGCCCAGGTTGGAGTGCAATGGTGCAATCTCGCTCACTGCAACCTCCGCCTCCCGGGTTCAAGCGATTCTCCTGCCTCAGCCTCCCGTGTAGCTGCAATTACAGGTGCGCGTCACCACACCCTACTCATTTTTGTATTTTTAGTAGAGTCGGAATTTCACCTTGTTGGCCAGGCTGGTTTTGAACTCCTGACCTCAGGTAATCTGCTCGGCCTCCCAAAGTGCTGGGATTACAGGTGTGAGCCACCGCGCCCAGCCTGCAAGCACGCCTCTAATCCCAGTGCTTTGGGAGGATCTCATGAGCCCAGTAGGTCGAGGCTGCGGTGAGCGATGACTGAGCCACTGCTCTACAGGCTGGGCGACAGAGTGAGCCCTGGGTCTCAAGAACGAAATAAAGTCTGTATTTCCAAATGCACAGCTAGATCTTCGGGCCAGGTAGAATGGCTCACTCCTGTAATCCCAGCACTTCGGGAGGCTGAAGCAGGACGACCTCTTGAACCCAGAAGTTTGAGAGCGGCCTGGGCAATGTGAAGAACCCCTATCTCTATAAAAAATCAGCGGGAAGGCGCCGGGCACGGTGGCTCAAGCCTGTAATCCCAGCACTGTGGGAGGCCGAGGCGGGTGGATCACGAGGTCAAGAGATCGAGACCATCCTGGTCAACATGGTGAAACCCCGTCTCTACTAAAAATACAAAAAATTAGCTGGGCATGGTGGCGCTTGCCTGTAATCCCAGCGACTCAGGAGGCTGGGGCAGGAGAATTGCCTGAACCCGGGAGGTGAGGGTGCAGTGAGCCGAGATCGCGCCATTGCACTCCAGCCTGGGTAACAAGAGCGAAACTCCGCCTCAAAAAAAAAAAAAAAAAAAAAAATCAGCGGGACATGGTGGTGCGCCTGTGGTCCCAGCTACTTGGGAGGCTGAGGTGGGAGGATCACCTGAACCCAGGAGGTCGAGATTGCAGTGAGCCAAGATCACACTACTATGCTGTAGTCTGGGCAACTCCTGTCAAAGAGAGAAAGCAAGAAACAGACAGAGAGGGAGGGAGAAAAAAGGAAAGGAAGGAAGGAAAAAAAGAGAGAGGGAGATGATCTGAACATTATAAGTCACACTTCCGGGGAGAATAGTGGAAGTGACGATGGGAGATCTGGGTTATTGATCAACACTTGAGTTTGGGTTTTTTTGTTTTTTTTTTTTTGAGATGGAGTCTTGCTCTGTCGCCCAGGCTGGAGTCCAGTGGCCCAATCTCGGCTCACTGCGACCTCCGCCTCCAGGGTTCAAGCGATTCTCCTGCCTCAGCCTCCTGAGTAGCTGGGACTACAGGCGCCCGTCACCACACTGGCTAGTTTTTTGTATTGTTTAGTAGTAACGGGATTTCACCATGTTGACCAGGCTGGTCTCAAACTCCTGACCTCAGATGATCTGCCCACTTCAGCCTCCCTGAGTGCTGGGATTACAGGCGTCAGCCACCGTACCCGGCCTACATTTGAATTTTTTATAAGACAAATGTGTTCATATACTACCTGCATAACAAAATTACAGTTACAAGAACATTTTCAACATCGCGCGCGCGCGCACACACATGCACGATGAAAGTGTGTGGTCATGCACAGAGTGAGATTTGGGGTCAGCAGTGCGCAGTTGCAATATTCCCTGCACCACATCCTGTCTCTGTGACTCAGACAAATTGCTTACCCTGCCAGACTTGGGTCTTTAGGGCTGGAGACCTACCCTTCGCAACCCAGGGCAGTTCTGCCTCCCAGGAGACACCTGGCACTGTCTGGGCACATTTGCGGTTGTCTCGACGAGGGGGGTGTGCTCCTGGCGTGGGGTGGGTGGAGGCCAGGGATGCTGTTCAGCACCCTGCAGTGCCTGAGACGGCCCCACCCCAGAGAGTGAGCTGGCCCCGATGTCGCCGTGGAGAGAGACGGCTGCAGAGAGAGCGAGGCTCCTGTGAGGCGTCTTCCGCCGGCTCCTGAGGTTTGCAGAGGTGCACTCAACCCGCCTTAATCTCCTGGGAAAGATACTTTGAAATTCCTCCCTCAACAAACATTGATTGCAACCCTGTGGAAAGCGAAGACTGAAAGGAGCCATCTGGGGGTCCAGGCTTACACGATTTCGTTGCTTGCGGTGGTCTGTTTTTCACCACCCTGCCACTTTGAAGTTGTTGGTTTCCTTCTGGTTTTTGTTTTTTTGAGACAGGGTCTCGCTCTGTCACCCAGGCAGGTGAGCAGTGGTTCCATCTTGGCTCACTGCAACCTTGACCTCCTGGATTCAAGGGATCGTCCCACCTCAGCCTCCCGAGTAGCTGGGACTACAGGTGTGCGCCACCACACCTGGCTAACTTTTGTATTTTTTATAGACGTGGGGTTTCACCATGTTGGCCAGGCTGGTCTCGAACTCCTGACCTCAAGTGATCCGCCTGCCTCAGCCTCCCAAAGTGCTGGCATTACAGGTGTGAGCCACCGCGCCCAGCCCACATCAGTTTCTTTTTTAAATAATTCTTTTAAGGTGGATTGATAAAAACCGAGAATAGAAGCAGCTTCCCCCTGTCCCAGTAGCTCCTCCTAGGCTGTCTGAGGCTCCGCCACACCCGCCTCTCAGCCTCTGTGACTGTGTCTTCAGCCTGGAGCTGGTGGATGGAGTCACGTGTGTGCTCGAGAGGCCTCAAAGCATGTTGGGTTTTCCAGAACTTCCCTTAGCCTTTTTCTCTGGGCCCAGCTGGGCAGAAGTGGCCAGAGAGCAGCGACCCGGGCATCCCCGAGTCTGGGATTTCTCCCCTGCCTCCTCCCTGCCACGTGAATGAAAGCCATCCCTGGGAAGGCTGGGCACTGTAGGAGTCCTGGAGCAGTGTGGGGGGGAAATCCTGGCTCCCCACCGCCCGCCTCTAGGCTCCCCCGCCCGCCTCTCCAGCCTCAGTTCCCCTTTCCTCTCTGCTCAGTGCAGAAGAGACACACGCCAGGCATGTGGCAGTGGAAACTCGGCCTGTCCCCCCCCTTCTGTCATGGGGGTGGCCTGGCATGTGTGTACAGAGCCTCTACCTCTGAGGAGGCACCTTGGGTGGCCCCAGGGCCTGGGGTTTTGGCGTTCAGGGGCTTTGGTCCCCAGGTTTGTTGCTGGGCAGCCTTGGGCAAGACAGGGAATTTCTGTTTCTTTGTTTGTGACTTGGATACAGGGCCACACCCAGGGACTAGCCTACCTGGGATGACTTGTTTCCTGGCCCTCCGCAGGATGCCCCGCACAGGCTGTGGGAGGGGCCGTGGTTACCGTCACCTGGGCTGGCCTCACTGGGGTCCCTCCTGCAGTCCACACACTCCACCGGCACCCGGTCCCACTTGGCCTGGCCTTTCCACCCTAGACGGGAGGGACAGGCACAGAGCAGGTGCCCAGAAGTGGAGCCGCAGGGCTCAGCTAGGGAACCCTGTGGGGATCTGGGCAGGCACACGCTAACCTGCCGCCGCCTCCTACGTGGGGCAGCGCCCAAGTCTCCTCTATGCCCTCATGTTCCCCTTCCCTTCACATGCTGGGAAGAGGACCCAGGCCCCAGAAGCTGGTTTCCAGCCCGGCTGCCTCCCATGCCGCTCACACCAGCCCAGTGTGCAGGCTGCAGGGAGTGCGGCCCCACGGCTGGCTGAGCACCCGGCCAGGACTCGGGCTGGACCCGGAGCAGAGCCTCTGCCCCGGCGACCTCAGGAGGGCAGGGTTACGCAACTGACTGGGGATGAGACGGGAGGCGGGGGCACCCTGGGCCCTGTTCCTTCCCCACCTTTGGGGGTAGGAAGGCGGACTGAAGGCAGAACTGTCGAAAGCCCCCCAGCCCTTGGCCCGTGGGTGGAGGTGGGCTCTGGCCTCCGCTTCCAGTCAGGAGGCAGACCCCCCTCGCCCAGCGCTGGGGGTGCGTCCGTGGCTTCCCGGCCACCTGTGCAGAGCCTGCGCTCACTGCTTGTGTGCCCTCTAGGATGGCGGCTCCCTGGACCAGGTGCTGAAAGAGGCCAAGAGGATTCCCGAGGAGATCCTGGGGAAAGTCAGCATTGCGGTCAGTCCCGGCAGACCCGCCTCGCGACCCCACCCACACTCTGCGTAGACCTCTTCCACACGGCCAGACTTCCAGGACCCACTCCCCGTGTAGTGGGGGTTAGGGTGGTCCCTGTGGAGCTTGAACAAGTGACATCCCTTTTGGGGCCTGAGGTTGCATCTGCCGAATGGAGATGTGAGGTCCCCCCTCTCTCTCAGTATTCTCTGTTTGCCGTGCTGGTCCCTTCTTGCCCTCGTGGCAGGGGGACGCTGGCAGCTGGCACGGTGCAGGGGATGGGAGCTTGTTGAAGGGGAAACCCTGGGGTGGGAGGTGGGACACCAGGAGCTCCAGGCACGCTCCCCGCTTGCTGTAAGAACTGCCACCGGACCAAGCCACGGGGCAGGGTGGGGGGCTTCTCTGCTGCTGGGTCTCCAGCACAGCCACTCCGCAGAGCCTTGAGGTCTCAGAAGCCCGCGCGTGTTTCTTCTAGAAGCTTAGGCCTTGCCCACTGCAGGGGAGTCCGGCCTGACTGTCGCGGTGTTGGAAGGGAGGGAGCCGCAGGCCGCCTGCTGCCAGACGCGGCGCTTCACAGTTGAAAGCTGCCATCAGCGCCGCCCTATTTAACTTCTCGGGATATTCCTTCCAGGGCGGGCCTGGGGGAAACGGCGCCCTTCCCAGGCACCCTTACCCTGTCCCATCTGGGGGCCCTTAGCACAGTCCCTGGGACCCCAGATGCGTGACAGATGCGGCCCTTCTGGCTGGTGTGGGTGAACTCGGTAGCCCGTCCAGGCCGTGAGCCACTGCCTCAGCTTCTGTGGGGCTCAGCCGCGTGGTCTGATTCAGAGGCAGTAATGGCATCACCACCCTGAAGTCAGGTGGGAACCGGGGTTTACTCGCACACACCGGCACGGGCCCTCCGGATTGTCACGTCTCTGCCCTCGCTGGCTCCACCCCAGCAAGCTCAGCACAGCCTGAAATAGGGTTCCCGCCTCGGGTCCCTCGCTCTGGCTCTGGCTGCTCAGGTCCGACCCCTGGGCCCCGTCAGGCGTTAGGCCCCGGTGGCCTTGTCCCATGACCCCCTCGGCACTCCCCTGCAGGTCCTCCGGGGCTTGGCCTACCTCCGAGAGAAGCACCAGATCATGCACCGAGGTAAGACCCAGCCCGCCCGCCCCAGAGCCTCGAGGGCTGGTGGGCAGCTGTCAGGCGCCTCTCACCCGCAGCCTGCCTCCCCCAGATGTGAAGCCCTCCAACATCCTGGTGAACTCCAGAGGGGAGATCAAGCTGTGTGACTTTGGGGTGAGCGGGCAGCTCATCGACTCCATGGCCAACTCCTTCGTGGGCACGCGTTCCTACATGGCTGTGAGTCCCCCAGCTCTCCTGCCTCCCACCAGCTTTCCCAGCTCCTTGGCGGGCAAGCACTCCTATGTGGCTGTTAGTGCCCTGGGATGTTCCTGCCCCAGCCACACCCACCCTCCCATCAGCTCTCCCCACTTGCTGCAAGGTTTGCCTAAAGCCTGTGCCTCCTGTATATGACCTGATTTTCGGATTCCCCTTGCTCTTTATTTTTTATTTCTATTGCCTAGGCTGCTCATGAACTCCTGGGCTTAAGTGACCCTCTTGCCTCGGCCTGCCAAAGTGCTGGGATTCCACCAGCACTGAGCCACCACACGCGGCCAGATTTCCCCTTCCCGTTGGAATTCTCGAGTAGCTTTTTGTCTCTAGCAGTGCCTACCAGGTTTCTTTCTTTCTTTCTTTTTTTTTTTTTTTTTTTTGAGACAGTCTTGCTCTGTTGCCCAGTGCAGTGTCGCTGGAGTGCAGTGGCGCGATCTTGGCTCATTGCAACCTCCGCCTCTCGGGTTTAAGCAATTCTCCTGCCTTGGCCTCCCAAGCAGCTGGGACTACAGACACGCGCCACCACACCTGGCTAATGTTTATATTTTTAGTAGAGACAGGATTTCACCATTTGGCCAGGCTGATCTCACACTCCTGACCTCAGACGATCCACCCGCCTCAGCCTCCTCAAGTGCTGGGATTACACGCATGAGCCACCTCACCCAGCCTCTTTCTCTTTTTTTTTATTTATTTTTGCTTTTTTTGAAACAGAGTCTTACTCTGTTGCCCAGGCTGCCGTGGTGTAATCTCGACTCACTGCAACCTCCATCTCCTGGGTTCAAGCGATGCTCCTGCCTCAGCTTCCCGAGTAGCTGGGACTACAAGCACCTAAGCCCAGCTAATTTTTTGTATTTTTGGAAGAAATGGGGTTTCACCATGTTGGCCAGGATGGTCTTGATCTCCTGACCTCGTGATCCTCCTGCCTCTGCCTCTCAAAGTGCTGGGATTACGGACGTGAGCCACCGCGCCCGGCCTGGACTCTCGGGTCTTTGAGGAAATGACTAGGGATTCCGCAGTCTGCCCAACTGAGCCTCAGAGCAGGTCTGAGACGTCAGCGTGGAGAAGGAGCCGTGCTTCCTGGGCCTGTTGTCCATTTCTGAAAGTGCAGAGCATGGTGGGCTCTTTAGGAGCTGCGGCCAGCACCCGCTCCAGGCCTGAGGCTGGAGGCTCTTCAGCTGCCAGGGCCCGGGTGGGTGAGCTGGGAGGTGGAATCGCTAAGGCTGTCTCCATCGCTGTGGTTGTTAGCCGTGGACAGGCTGACTGGGGCTGGAACGGGGCAAGCCTGCCCTGCCACCCAGCCCTCTCCGGCTCCAGCTGCCATCCCGCCCTCTGGTTGTCTTTCTTCCCGCCTCTGCTGCAGCCGGAGCGGCTGCAGGGCACGCACTACTCCGTGCAGTCGGACATCTGGAGCATGGGCCTGTCCCTGGTGGAGCTGGCCATCGGAAGGTACCCCATCCCCCCGCCTGACGCCAAGGAGCTGGAGGCCATCTTTGGTCGGCCCGTGGTCGACGGGGCAGAAGGAGAGCCTCACAGCATCTCGCCTCGGCCGAGACCCCCCGGGCGCCCCATCAGCGGTACGGCCTGAGTCTGCCACTTCCGGTCTGGACGGGCAGTACCCGGCGCGGGGCCTGCTGTGCCGGGACAAGCAGCTGCCTCCCCTCTGTCCCCTGTCACACCACCTGTCCCACTGGACGGTGCTGACTGCGGTCAGCAGTCCTCAGATGGTCTGGGGTTTCCGGGGACAGAGCTGGAAGCGGCGAGCACCCCAGACCTGTTCTGCCTGGGGCAGCTGCACCTGTCGTTGCCAGCTGGAGGGATCTGGGCACATGGCTCTGCCGCCAGGGGCCTGGGCCCTTGCATTTTCCAACATTTTCTCCTGAAAGCACTCAAACAGACAAAGGTGGAAGGCGTTGGCCACCACAGAGCCCAGACCCTGCAGGTGACTCGCTCCTGTGTGTGGCCTAAAACTTCCAGGGAGCCCCGAAGTGGACAACTGACTTGGCATGTCCCTCGGTGGCCTGCTGCCTCCAACCCAACACACGCAGGAGGGAATACAGCCTGGGAGGGGGTGGGAGGGCACAGACCCTGGGGACAGCTGGGCTTGCAGAGGACAATCCGGTGCTTAGGGCAGGCACCTCGGAGCGGGAGCTTCCTGTCCCCAGCCAGAGATGTCCGAGGGGACACTTCCACCACCTGAGGGGGAGCAGGGAGTGGACCTGTCTCCAGGACAGAATGACGGGAGGGTTCTGTGATTTTTTTTTTTAAGTCAGACATTAGGGAGAGTTAGTGAGTTAGACCCCCAAAGGACCCCGTAGCAGACTACAGTTGGTTTTAAAACCTCGTTTCTGAACTAGAAAGCTCATACCCCACAACTCACTCATTTCAGGTGAGCAGTTCAGCAGTTTCCATTCACACAGTGCTGCACCCCATCACCTCTAATTCCAGAACCTTCTCAGCGCCCTGTCCCCATCCGCCGTCACTCTCCCCTTCCTGCCTCTGTGGACCGGCCTGTTCTGGGCATTGCACAGAAATGGGGTCATGCACTGTGTGGCCTTCTGGGTTTTATGTGGGGCTCCTCTCCCTGAGCGCAGTGTCCTCAAGGTTCATCCACACCGTGGTGGGTGTCACAGCCTGGCTCCTTTTGAGAGGCTGTGACACAGATGGGCCACGTTTTGTGGTCCATCCGCCCTGGATGGACACTGGGGCTGTAAGAAGGCAATTTTCACAGCCCTGGCAAACCCACTTCTTCCCCTGCAGCCAGACTGCTGTGAAGTCTTGATCTCATCCCAGGGAGACTCCCCAAGTGCCAGTCCTCAGGCCTGGCCCCGGCCCCTCCCAGCCCCAACTCCCAGGTGGTATATGGGCCCCTTCCACGCCTGCCCGGCCCGCCCCCAGCCCATGGCCCCAGCCCGCCTGCCCATTTCACGACAGGAGCAGAAGGCGAAAGTCCAGCAGCCAAACCCGGGCCTGGCCAGCTGGTTCTCGGACAGGGGTCAGCCACCCTCAGCCGGTCTCCTGTTCTGAGTGGCATTCGGGGCCTGCCGCCATCACCACCGGCAGCTCCGTACAAGGTCAAGCTGCTGTCCTTGCCTGCGGTCAGCGCTGTCCCTCCCCCTGCCCGCCAGAGAACAGGGGTGATGACTTTGGCACGGCTGGCAAACCTCACTGAGCCAAATGTGTGACTTCTCAAAAAACGTTCGTGTTCCTTTTGGCTTTTTTTTTTTTTTTTTTTTTTTTTTTTTACCACTAGAGGCTCAAGCGAGAAGTAGCCATCCCAGGGAATGGAGGCTGGAGACAGTCAGGCCAGGGAGCTTTGTCTCCGGCCTCCGATTTCACCTGGCATGGGGAGGGGGTGCCTGGCGGTGATGAGCCCCCTTGGAGCCCAACCCCCAGCAGACACAAGGTGGCCCCCGGCCCATCTCACCTCCATCTCTGTCCCCATGCAGGTCACGGGATGGACAGCCGACCTGCCATGGCCATCTTTGAACTGCTGGACTATATTGTGAATGAGGTTCGTGTGCCACACCCTATGGCTTTTCTTTCTTCTTTTTTTTATTTGTTTGTTTTTAAGGCAGAGTGTCGCTCTGACTGGAGCCAGAGTTGCTCCGGCTGGAGTATAGTGATGCAGTCTCCGCTCACTGAAACCTCCACTCTGCAGGTTCATGTGAGCCTCCTGCCTCAGCCTCCCGAGCAGCCGGGATTACAGGTGCACACCACCACACCCAGCTAATAATTTTTTTTTTTTTTTTTTTTTTTTGAGATGGAGTCTCACTCTTTTGCCCAGGCTGAAGCACAGTGGCTTGATCTCGGCTGACTGGAGCCTTCACCTCCCGGTTCAAGTGATTCTCCTGCGTCAGCCTCCCAAGTAGCTGAACCCTCCCAAGGGATTACAGACAGGTGCCACCACACCCGCTAATTTTGGGGTTTTTTTGAGACAGAGTTTCAGTCTTGTTGCCCAGGCTGAAGTGCAATGGCACGATCTCAGCTCACTGCAACGTCGCCTCCCGGATTCAAGCAATTCTCCTGCCTCAGCCTCCCCAGTAGCTGGGATCACAGGCATGTGCCACCACGCCTGGCTAATTTTGTATATTTAGTAGAGACACGGTTTCCCCATGTTTATCAGGCTGGTCTCAAACTCCCGACCTCAGGTGATCTGCCCACCTCAGCCTTTCAAAGTGCTGGGATTACAGGCATGAGCCACTGCGCCCGGCCTAATTTTTGTATTTTTAGGAGAGACAGGGTTTTACCATGTTGGTCAGGCTGGTCTCAAACTCCTGACCTCAGGTGATCCACCCGCCTCACCCTCCCGAAGTGCCGGGATTACAGGCATGAGCCACCGCACCCAGCCTTTTCTTTTCTATTTTTTTATTTTAAAGATGAGGGAACGGCCGGACGCGGTGGCTCAAGCCTGTAATCCCAGCACTTTGGGAGGCTGAGGCGGGTGGATCACGAGGTCAAGAGATCGAGACCATCCTGGTCAACATGGTGAAACCCCGTCTCTACTAAAAATACAAAACATTAGCTGGGCATGGTGGCGCGTGCCTGTAATCCCAGCTACTCAGGAGGCTGAGGCAGGAGAATTGCCTGAACCCAGGAGGCGGAGGTTGCGGTGAGCCGAGATCGCGCCATTGCACTCCAGCCTGGGTAACAAGACTGAAACTCCATCTCAAAAAAAAAAAAAAAAAAAAAAAAAAAAAGATGAGGGATCTGGGTACTAAAAAACGGAAACAGCGATGTTGACTGGGTTTTGCTAGGGAGGGTGAGCGGACAGAGCCAGTCCCTGTGCAGCACCAGCCAGCTCCTCCCCAAGCACTGCTTTTTCTAAGACGAACCCAGAATTCCCACCGCATCCTCTCACCCTGAGTCCAGCGGGAGGCACCTGCCAGCAGCCCTGGGCTCAGGCCGAGGAGCCAGGCTGCCCCTTGAGCAGTGGCCCAGTGTCTGCATCAGAGCGTCCTGGAGCCCGTGGGCATGGACTATAAATCACCCTGCTTCCGCAGAGAAAGGTACAGGCCTGGCCCTTGCCTCTTGGAAGGAGGCCCAGAGGGCCTAGAAGGACCTACAGGTCCCCAAAACCACCGGCGAGCAGCAGTACGAGCGTTTCCACTGCCCGGATGAGTAAACCAAGGCACGAGGAGGGGTGTGGTCGCCTCCCGGGCCTGCAGCTGTCAGGGAGGCACGGGACCAGACCCCAAAGCCCTGTTGACCATATGACCAGGGCGGGCCATCCCCTGGACCTTCTATGGGCTTCTGTGTGGCCCTTTGGAGCTGGGGCAGACAAATGGGCATCTAAGCTGCCTGCAGACTGGGCTAGGCCTGGGGTTGGGTGGCAAGATAATGACAGAGCCAGGCGGAGTGGCCCTGGTGACCCAGCTCTCCCTGCACCTGGTAGCCACGCCCAGGCCCAGTGTGCACGTCCCCCCCCACCCCGTCTTCCCACCCCTGCACAGGAGGGGCCCGAGCCTGCACTGCTGGCACCACTTCCACAGCCGCGCCTGCTCCAAGGACGTGTGTTCCGGGCCAGGCTCCCCAGTGCTTGGCCTCAAAACTTTGGACCCAGTTTGGCTGGGTTCTGTGGCTCAAGTTTGTAATCCCAGCACTTTGGGAGGCCAAGGTGGGCAGATCACCTGAGGTCAGGAGTTCGAGACCAGCCTGGCCAACATGGTGAAACCCCGTCTCTACTAAAAATACAAAAATTAGCCAGGTGTGGTAGCATGTGCCTGTAATCCCAGCTACTTGGGAGGCTGAGGCTGGAGAATCACTTGAACCCAGGAGGCAGAGGCTGCAGTGAGCAGAGATCACACCACTGCACTCCAACCTGGGCAGCTGAGCAAAGCTCTGTCTCAAAGCAGAACAACTTTGGACCCAGCCGTCCCCCCATGGGGCCCAGTCCCAGAGCTCATCCTTGAGTCAGCATCACTCTGGGGAAGGAATTAAGTGACAAGACTTGAGCGAGGGGTTTGGCCATGACTTAAGAGTTTTCGGTAGGCCAGCTCTGACAGTGCAGCCCAGTGTGGTGTGTGGTGTCGGCCAGGCCTGCAGGGCGGGGGTCCGGGAGGCGTCCAGCCAAGGGTCCTGAGGACGCCCAGGGCTGACCCACCCTCTGTTCTCCTCCACAGCCACCTCCCAAGCTGCCCAATGGTGTGTTCACCCCGGACTTCCAGGAGTTTGTCAATAGATGGTAGGTGGAGCCAGGCCACCCACACCCCTGGCCGGAACCCAGATGGGCCACTCCCGGGTCCTGGGTGGGGCCCAAGGCCCAGCCTGCCCATCCAGAATCCCAGCGCAGGGTTGGGCAGAACCCTGAGCCCACCAGGAAGCCAGAATTCCTTCCCCAGGGCTGCCATGCCAGCCTGCCCCCGAGCCCGGGAGTGAGGCAGGATCGCAGGCTCTGTGCATCTGACGATGTCCCCTCCTTTCCGTCTGTGGAAGAAGGAGAAGCCTCTGCCTGGTCCTCCGACCCCTGGCGTGCTGACCGTGGGCTCCCTGGGGTCCGTCCTTAGGTTCTAGGGGGCTCACCAACCCCTCTCTATTCTGCCCGTGGGCACCCAGCAGTGTCTGGTGTGAACCTCAGAGGCGCGTGGTGCAGACCCCAGTGGAGGAGATGGGACCACCCCACCTCCCCATAGGCCGGTCCATGTGTCCGAGCCGGGGATGCCTTGGAACTGCACCGGAAACTGCACCGCCCTCCCGGTGCTGACGGTGCCCCAGGCCCGTGGCGCGCCCTCCAGGAGGCCGTGAACGGCATCTGAGGTCCGCTGCTCGGTGCCTGAAGAGCCCTCAGCCCCGGCTGCTTCCAGCACCTGCCTCACCCAGTTCTGTTTAAAAGGACAAAGTTCCATGTTGACATTCGGGCCCTGGGCTTGGGGTTTTGATTAGAAACTTAGCTGGGGTTGCTTTCAGGCTTCTGACCGACTGGGCAGGGTTTCCCGTCCTCTGCCAGGCGGCAGAGCAGAGCAGGCGGGTCCGTGCCGCAGACCCAGGTCTCCCTGGCCACAGCCCAAAATGCAGGTGTCCCGGAACCGCCAACTGACTGGCCTGTCTTGTCTCCCCCGCCGCCTCCCGTCCTGCCTGTCGGAACACCAGCCTCATCAAGAACCCAGCGGAGCGGGCGGACCTGAAGATGCTCACGGTGAGTGATGCCTACGGGCTCTGGGGCCTCGAAGGTGCAGGCTGCCACCCAGGCCCAGGAAACAAGGCTGCTGGACCTGGCCCTGCCCCGGGAACCGGCACCTGTGGCCGGGATGTGGGCAGGCTGGGTGTGCCGGGCCACTCCGAGAACCCTCTGTGGGTCTCCCTCGTCTATGAGAGAAGCTATCCTGGGCTGTCGGGAGGAGCAGAGAGTGTGCGTGGGAACAGCTGTGGGCTCTGAGCTCCTGCCTGGGGCTGGCCCCACACACAGGATGCAACCCCGGGCTCATCTGCCCTCATGAGCAGCTGGAGGCAGCTGCCCCCTGAACTCCTTTCCCTTCAAACTAGACGGTGACTGTCCCTGTTCTGTGCACTGTGGCAGGCAGGTCCCCCGAGGCCATGGATGCTCCGGTGTCTCATTAAACCCCCATCCTCTGATATCCTTAGAAGCAAAGCTGTTCACCAAAACTCATCACCCCAGCGGGGACTGCACCCTCAGAGGGGTGCGTGGGCATCATCCTGCTGGCCCTCAGCCCACCCTGCACCACCCTGGGTGTTCTCACACACCATGGCCACCATCAGTGACCTTTGAACCCCTCCGCAGCCCATTGGTGGATTGGGGACACCGCCCTCCTAGGCAGCCTGCTACTTCCTTTGCCTCTAAAAGCCCAGAGAAACCAGCACCTTATGAGTGATGGAATGTGGCTTTCAGTTTTGGGGTTTTTTTGGCAGGGGGAAGGAGTCTTGCTCTGTCGACCAGACTGGAGTGCAGTGGCACAATCTCAGCGCACTGCAGCCTCCACCTCCTGGGATTAAGCAATTCTCCTGCCTCAGCCTCCTGAGTAGCTGGGATTACAGGCTCCTGCCACCATGCCTGGCTAATTTTTGTATTTTTAGTAGAGATGGGTTTCACCATGTTGTCCAGGCTGGTCTGGAACTCCTGACCTCGTGATCCGCCCGCCTTAGCCTCCCCAATCTGAGAGGCAGAGGTTGCTGTGAGCTGAGATGGCGCCATTGCACTCCAGCCTGGGCGACAGAGAAAGATTGTTTTAAAAAATAAAAATTAAGGCCAGGCGTGGTGGCTCACGCCTGTAATGCCAGCACTTTCGGAGGCTGAGGCAGGCGGATCATTTGAGGTCAGGAGTTCGAGACCAGCCTGACCAACATGGTGAAAGCCCATCTCTACTAAAAATACAAAATTAGCCAGGCGTGGTGGTGCATACCGTAATCCCAGCTACTTGGGAGGCTGATGCAGGAGAATTGCTTGAACCTGGGAGGCAGAGGTTGTGGTAAGCTGAGATCATGCCACCACAGTCCAGCCTGGGCGACAAGAGTGAAATTTTGTCTCAAAAAAAAAAAAAGAAAGAAAAATGAATGAATGAATGAGTTAAACTGACATGAAATTGAGGCTTCTGTTCCCAGGTCACAGGCGCCACACTCCAGGGGCTCCGGGGCCTCCCGTGCTGGGAGTGGGACGGTGCCCATCCTGCACTCTGCAGGGAGTTCTGTGGAACAGCTCTGTCCCATAGTTGAGCTGTTTCTGCCTGGGCTGTCCTGCTCCGGGGGACCATGGCTATGGCTGAGGACATTGTGGTGTCATGACTTGGGGCAGCCCCTGGCATGGAGTAGGTGGAGGCCAGGGACACTGGTCAGCACCCTGCAGTGCCTAGGGCGGTCCCACCCCAGAGAACGATCCGGCCCCAGTGTCCACAGTGGCCATGGGAACCGTGGGCTTGTGTGAGCACGGACCCTCTGGGAGTCCAGGCTGCTGGGCTGGTGGTGCCCCAACCGCGGGTGGAGTACGGCATCCAGGCTTGGCACTAGCCACTGCGCCTTTCTGGGTCGGGTTCCCTCTTCTGCCCTGAGCGGTCTTCCTGGGGGCGGGGTGAGGGGCACCTCTGTCTTTTGCTTTCTGTCCTGTACTGTGTGCCAGGGCTATGCAGACGCTGCCCTCCCCGTCCTGCTGTGACTCCAGGGCCCCGGGACTAACCACTCCTGTTCCCTTGCAGAACCACACCTTCATCAAGCGGTCCGAGGTGGAAGAAGTGGATTTTGCCGGCTGGTTGTGTAAAACCCTGCGGCTGAACCAGCCCAGCACACCCACGCGCACCGCCGTGTGACCGTGGCCGGGCTCCCGCCTCCCGCTGGTGACCTGCCCACCGTCCCTGTCCACGCCCCGCCCTTCCAGCTGAGGACAGGCTGGCGCCTCCACCCACCCTCCTGCCTCACCCCTGTGGCGAGCACCGTGGCGGGCAACTGCGCATGCAGGAACGGGGTCTCCTGTCCTGCCCGTCCCGCCCGGGGTGGCTCCGGCTCCGGGGACGGGCGACGCTGCTGTGTGTGGTCTCAGAGCCTGCTTCCTTAGGTTAAAAAAACAAAACAAAACAGGGAGAGAAAACGCAAACCGCCATCGTGCTGCTTTCTTCCGTCCGGCTTGGGGCGCTGGGCTTCAGTTCAGCGCAGCGTGGAGAGGGCATCCCTGAGCTGACCCGACCCACATCGCCGGGCGCCAAGGTGGCCTTAGGGAGAGCCGGCCGCTCCCATTGGGTCAAGGGATGAAGACCTGCAATGAGCCCCCAGGCGACGGTGGCTTTCACCAAAAGGAAGGAGAGGCGTCCGGTGTGGGGGTGGTGGATCGGTGGCTTGTGCCTGTCATTTCCAGCACTTTGAGAGGCTGAGGTGGGAGGATCCCTTGAACCCAGGGGGTCGAGGCTGCAGTGGGCCGTGATGACACCACTGCACTCCAGCCTGGGCGACAGAGCAAGGCTCTGACTCTGGAAGAAAAGGGAAGTGCCACCTGGCTTCCCTCTGTCCTCCTGCCACCGTCACTGCCCCCATGGAAGGCAGTGTTAGCCTTCTGTGATGGAAGCCACTTCCTGCACACTGCTCCAGTCTGTAGCCTCCTCCAAGGGAAGGCCGCCCCTGCCTCTTCCCCAGCAAGGCACCGTCCCCTCCCCATCCCGGTGCTTCCGGGAGCAGCAACTCCCAGGTCCCAGCAGCAGCAGCCGAGCTGAGACTCACCCCACAGAAAGGAAGCATTGGCTTTCTGAGCTGTCGGTATTGTTGGAAACCCCAGCAGGTCCAGTACATTCACCCTCCAGTCCCCCCGCCCCTGCAGCAGGCCCGAGGGCGGGGGGTTCTGTCACCTCTCCTCGCCCAACAAATCAGAAGTGACCACCAAGGCACGTCACTCTTCGGGCTTAGAACCGTTCAGCTGCAGCGAGTTGCAGATGAAACAGCGAGGGCTTGTCCTGGCGTCTTTGGGGTTCCTTGCAGGCCGCTAGCCTGGTTCTCCCGTTGTCTGAGATCCAAAGCCCCAGACTTTCTGCCTTTGGGCTGTGTCCCCGGGCATAGAGGAGGCTGCCTCGGGGCTGGATGTGGAGGGCAGCTGGGCCCTTCTAGGGGCTCTCTAAAGTTCTTGAGGCTGCGAGCCTCCCCCTCCAGTACTTCCTGGAGACAACCAGCAAGCTGATACTAATCTGTGGGCAAATTGTAGGGGAAGGGTTGCTGGCACTGTACTTCTGGAGAAGACAGCAGAAGGTGGGGGCTTGTTGTTCTGTGGGAACTGCTGGATCGTCCTTTTCTTCTTCGGGTGACCCTTCTAGTCTTGTGTGGTTTTGTTTTTTTTTTTTCTGCAGACATCAAAGAAGAGATGAGTTGATACCTCTTGCAAACAGCTCACCAGGCTTCTGCCCCTTTTTTCCCCCTAAAGTCTCACCTGCCTTAAAAAGAAAAACAAAGGCCAGGCTTGGTGGCTCACGCCTGTGATATAAACACTTTGGGAGGCTGAGGCAGGAGGATTGCTTGAGCCCAGGAGTTTGAGACCAACCTGGGCAACCTAGCAAGACCCCATCTCTACAAAAATAATAATAATAAGGAAAAAATTGGCCGGGTGAGGTGGTGCACCCTGCAGTCCCAGGTACTCGGGAGGCCGAGGCACGAGAATCACCCGAGCCTGGGGAGGTGGAGATTGCAGTGAGCCGAGATCGCACCGCCACACTCCAGCCTGGGCGACAGAGTGTGGCCCGTCTCCAAAAAATAAAAAATTGGGGGGAAAAAAAAGACAAAGTGTTGAAGTTGCCGCCCTGTGGTAGCCAGGCCCGTTCAGGATTCCGGGGGAGCGAGGGGGCGGGGTGGGGTGGGTGCTGAAGTGGATGATTTGGGCGCCTGTGCTCCAAGCAGGCAGGACCTCTGGGCAGGTCCTGGCAACCCGAGGGTCCTGGCCACCCCCCTGCCACTGGCAAGGAGTGAAAGGACACAGGGTCCCAGGGAGCAAGGGCAGTCTGCGCTAGGTGCGGACAGACTCGGCACCAGGGTCCCTGCGGTGTGCATGGCCATCCTGCGGCTTCACTGGAACCCCACAGCACCCCAGCGGGAAGGACGGGAGGGAAGCTGTGGCCTTGCCTGTTACCCCGACTCACATCAGAGCCCGGCTTCTAGAACTATTCCGTAAACGTGGCAATAGTGCACCTGTCAGGTTCCTTTCTGGGTCCCTCAGCTCCTGCCCCTCGCCAAGACACCTCCAGACCCAGCTGCTCCCTCATCTGACACCCCTTTCATGCCCGATGCCCTTTGGACGTATTACCTTCTGCTCTCCACTGCAGAGGCCTGGGAAGGGATCTCAGGTGCTCCGAAAGGTAGCCACACACCTGGGGACGTCCTGTTTCACCCTGGCTAGGAACGCCCTGTAGTCCGGGGGTAGGATTCCCTGGCACGCCGGGGGCAGACCCTTTCCTGTAAAACATGCAGCATTTTAAAGTTTGCAGGGCACAGGCCCAGTGCAATGGCTCATGCCTATAATCCCAGCACTTTGGGAGGCCGAGGTGGGTGGATCGATTGAGGTCAGGAGTTTAAGACCCGCCTGACCAACCCCATCTCTATGAAAAAATACAAAAATTAGCTGGGCGTGGTGGCACACACCTATAATCCCAGCTACTCCAGAGGCTGAGGCAGGAGGATTGCTTGAATCTGGGAGGCGGAGGCTGCAGTGACCCGAGATCGAGGCACTGTACTCCAGCCTGGTCAGCAAAGTGAGACTCTGTCTCAAAAAATAAAGTTTTCAGAGCTTGGCGGGGCAGGGTGGCTGATGCTTATAATCCTAGCACTTTGGGAGGCCGAGGCGGGTGGATCACCTGAGGTCAGGAGTTTGAGACCAGCCTGGCCAACATGGTGAAACCCCATCTCTACTAAAATACAAAAATTAGCTAGCCGTGATGGCGGGCACCTGTAATCCCAGCCACTCTGGAGTCTGAGGCAGGAGAATCCCTTGAACTCGGGAGGCAGAGGTTGCAATGAGCCGAGATCATGCCACTGCACTCCAGCCTGGGCAAGAGAGCAAGACTCCATCTTAAAAAATAAATAACACCCAGGCTCGGTGGCTCATGCCTGTAATCCTGGCACTTTGGGAGGCTGAGGCGAGTGGATTGCTTCAGGCCAGGAGGAGTTCGAGACCAGCCTGACCAACATGGTGAAACCCCGTATCTACCAAAAACACAAAAATTAGCTGGGCGTGGTGGTGTACACCTGTAATCCCCCATACTCAGGAGGCTGAGGCAGAAGAATCTCTTGAACCCAGGAGGCAGAAATTGCAACGAGCTGAGACTGTGCCACGGCACTCCAGCCCGGGCAACAGAGTGAGACTGTGTCAATCAATCAATAACGTTTGCAGGGCTTCCGAACGTTTTCTGTGGTTATTCTTAAAAACCTCCAGACAGGCCAAGCACGGTGGCTCACGCCTGTAATCCTAACACTTTGGGAGGCCGAGGTGGGTGGATCACCTGAGGTCAGCAGTTCAAGACCAGCCTGGCCATCATGGTGAAACCCCATCT